ACATTTCCCCTTAGCTTATCGTGAGCATTAATGAATAATGAGGGAACTAATTAACGATTTCAGGTGTGGTTGAGGCGATTTGTTTAATTACCGCCTAATGCGAGATTAATCAGGGGTTAAGGTGGTGAGGGATGAATCCTACATAATTCATCATTGAACTCTCGTATCAGATATTCAGTTGGTTATTGATACTACAAAGAAATAATTGCAAGATCTGTAACAAAAACAAAAGTCTAATAAAAAACTTTAACCTTTATTTATAGCTTGTTCTATTGACTAGAAAGATTTCACCACACATTATAAGGCCGAATGCATTTAATCGCATTTAATGGCGCGAAACTTTCTCATCTGTAGGCAGTCCTTTATTAAACGGAGAAAATATAAGGCAGATTAATAGCGGCATAAACATAAAGTTCGCAACAACAAAGAATAACAACATATAAAGAAGCGTTGGAAATGGATATTACTCCCCGAGAGAAACCATGCTCCCCGTCCCTCGTTAGTAAAAGGTACACGAGCGAGACAAAAGACAAAGAAGTTCATATGAACGCTCAAATGAAGATAAACTGGATACGATAGAAACACGTGCAGCCATCACCTCAGTTTGTGGGACCTTGACAAGGTGAGACGTGAACTGGTATATTTACATTGTTGTTTAATCACCTTTTAAAAGCTGCTTCGTACACCTCGCATTAAAACCAGTATAGAAACAAATGACAGTCATTACCGAGACAAATAGTCTTCATTCCGACGTTTTGGATTTTAGATCCGATTTTTGACGTTTAGGTCATTTTTTCGTTAAAGTTCTAAGTGTGTGTGATATATAAAATAAATTGTTATTTCATTCGTTGAAAGGCTCGTTTTAAACTTAATTGTGATTTTTAGTATTGTATTGGAATGACTAAAAACAAGAACAGCGGTACAAATAAAAGTGAAATCAGGTGGAACGCGACAATGTAAGTCTTTGTTTACTTCGAGGAACACAGTCATTCCGCCATTATCTTCGGTTTACAAACACTCAATTTAGAGTTGAATATGTTAGACATTAACATTGGTATGTTGGGCAGATGCAGGGCTGTCATCTGTCTAGATTTGCCTAATTTGGACGCCATCCAAATGGGGTAATCAACCGATAAATTCTAAGATAAATTTACTACTGACTATGTGTTCGTTACGAAATGCATTTTACATGCATTATAGACTTTCTGCAAGTGTCTAAAAACTACTTGTATGTTAACTATCTCAAGACTTAGCTATCAACGGTTGGTAAGAGTCAAGGAAGTTTTGAATTCGATTTAATTTGTTAAATATCTAAATTTTTCCCATGGATTTATTAAAAGGCTTGAGTCATATTTCTTTTGAGATATTCGAAGAATTCAGCCCTAGACACATGTAGCCTCCTGTGCTCCCATCGGATCCAGTTTGTTATGCCGCGGGAGGCGGGAGGTTTAATTACACTTGTTTATGCACATATGTGTCGTTGTACCTCGCGAACTGGGTCGGCGAGTGCAGCCAGCCAACTGAGATAAGCGGACCGCTTTTAAAACGTTATTATAACTCCACTTTGTTCGTTCGTTTTCGACACCCGAATCAGATCGGTCCACTCAATAATACTGACATTGGAATTTGAAGAGTAAATAGTGTCAACTATTTAAACTAAATTACATAATTTAAAGATAAACAATCTAAAAGCGTAACCGTCGAGATAGAACAGCGTAAACATCAAAATTATCGTAATCGCGAGTCGCGGCACTCGTTATCGTACTCTTAACTCGGCAACGTAAACATTTTATTCAACTTTTATACAATTTGGCAACATATTTTCTAAGCGTTCCGACGAAACGTAAGCGTAATTACGGTGTCGGCGCGTAAACAAGCGTCGGCAGGCACGCTTGACATTGGTTTCGTCCAAAACCGCTTGATCTGCCGCGACCCGCTGTGAGTCATTAGTCTTGATATGTTTTTGAAGAGTGTTGCGACATCGCCGCGGGTCTGCGTAGGGCAGATGAACACTTGAACAGCTATCATCGGTGGGAGGCGCGTGAATCTACGTGAATCCCGAACGCAGGGCACGTGCGAACTGCGAAGACTGTAAACCGCATACTTCACTTTTACTGTAGCTGATCACGCGATCCGCAGACGACAGCGCGACCGGTAGATAGGCTTCCCAGAAAGTGTTATTTGTGCAGCGCTCCGACAAGTATTCCATGTTGCGTCTCTAGGAAAGTTGCAATGCACGCGCGTACTTCTAAGTTATATCTTACGAGAACTGTGGAGGTACCTCTTTGAAAGTTGTTAAACTTTGTGACGAGTTTTATTTGATTGCGGCGTACCTACTAACTAGTTCATTGATCCACATTGCTATCTTCAGCTTTTGCATTTTTGTACAATTTAATTGTGTTGTTGTGCTCTCATTTCCCCATCACAATACGTGCATTGATGAATCTATTGGCTGCTCGTACGTCACATGCACGGCCAGTATCGCCACGTGATCGCTAATCGCTCCCAACAAAGGAATGTATGTACACAAATGTGAAATGGTATCGCCTGTTAGAAAACGAACGTGCAATGATATTTACAGTTGCGTGTTAGTACCTACTAATTTAATCGTTAATATTATTTATTACATCCGCATAAACAAATCATATTGCAATCTTCGCATTTATTGTAAAAAATCGGATATTATTGGGACATTTTTATCGTTACTTATTCAAATTGCCTCTAATACTCCCCAATTATTTACCTCAATCCATTATTTATGGCAGAATCAATCCACTTTTACCCACTGAAACACTTCAAGTGGAGAAATTATTTCATGTAAAAGATAATGACTTTTAAGATGCTATATATTCTATAGGATCTGATAGCTCACTTTCCCTTGATGTCGAAAGCGACAAGCGAACAATTCGCGGCAGCCACTCAGCCCGCGGTCGAGTTTCACCTTCATCCAAGATCAAGCTGACTTGGAAACTTTCGATAGTCTCCATCCCAGGCTTATCATATCAAGTCTATACATTAAAGTATTATACTTTGTCAGTAATTTGTAGGCAAATCTCCAAAACTTGTAATTCAAACCAATTTGACACTTTTAGTTGTTGCACAATTGTTTAAATTCTCCTCTATATTTCGCAAAGAAACAAGCAAAAGCTGGTGCAGATTGTTACTTGGCTCCAATGAACAAGGCTCCTAGATTAGCTGTAGCTGTAGCTGTAGCCATTACTGCATTCGCAGTTTCTTTTCCTCTCGACTGGAGTAATTCGCCGTATTGTAAATAGTCTAATGTCACAGCCACACGGCCCTCGTTCTTTTGCTCCAGTGCTTGTTTATTCGCGTATTTAACGCTGCAACTTGATATTTCCAGCGCCAGTGGAATCTGATTTGAGAACATTAATGTTGCCTTAGTGAACGAAAAGTAAAGCAAAAACGTGACGACTGTTTGGTTTTGGCCTAAATATACGTCTGCGGTTAGACTTTCGTATTTAACAAGGATATAATTTTCTGAGTCTTTAGACTCTACATTTCGTTGTTATTGATATCACTGTTGATGATTATTTTTATGTTTTATGCCCTCGCGTTAATTCATGACTTACATTAAAAAAAACAATACTTTATGAATTTCTCCAACATGTTAGTCTTTGATCCACATTTTTCAGATGCGTGATTGATATTGCGTGAAAGACAGCACACAGCTGAGCATGCAACAAACTCTTCAACCGTTGATAATCGAATTGTCACGAATCTTTATCTCAGTGCATAGATTCCAATGGTTACAAGATTTATGAAATATTTCGTAATGGCCGTTACAATATTAATGAAGTCTGGGTTATTGTTACCTCACTCTTCCTCACAGAAACATTTATATGGTCTGTTTTTCTGTGACTTATGGATTATTTTGGACATGGTGATTCTTATTCTTCTTGTGTGAATAATAATAAAAATTGTTTGATGCGACCAATACACGCGCAAAATTCCTACAGATATCGAAGGCTGCAATTGATGTCCGTTTGAACAGGTGTCAATGATACACGCAGGGGGTAGTCGCGTTTGTCACCGCCATCTGGCTAGCCTCACACGCGCTATCCTTACGCAAGTAAGGGTAAGTCACGTTTAGAGAGCAAAGCCTACTTCGTCTAGATTATTTTTCCAAGTTATTCAATAAATCATAACGAAGATTAAAGTGACATTGTAGTTAGGTCCAGCTGTATATTTCAAAAAAGACCGATTACGATGAACTAGGTGGACGAAATAAGCTGTATAGAATAGAAAGAGGATGAGGACGAACCTTCATCTTAATCATCATCAGACCAGTTAGTCTTTACTGCAGCAACACGACTACACGACCCTGTCTGTCGAATTTACTTGAAGCAAATGGAAGATTTGGTCTTCACTATCCACGTTGGACAGACCTATTACGAATTTACGACATCCACGAGAAGGGTGGGATATCATCCTATTCTATTATATCCAGCAGTTTCACAATACGGACACAAAATGGTAAGTTAAGCAGACGCAAAAGGGCATAAGTCTGACACTCCCGCCACTGGCCAGGCGGGTTGGGTAAGTCAGGCTTTAGTCAGGGTTTCATGTGATCAAAAGATCAAAGTGTAGGTACTCGCAGGTTGGGAACGAGACAAACTCCTGGATATAGTACTTTCATGATACAGTGTGCTTACCATGAGTTTACGTTAGGTATGCTCGCTAGTGAGTGTACGTCTAAAAATCTATGAAGATTCTAGTTCCTCAAAGTAGCTGTACGTACAATCTGTCATACATTAAAATGTAATTTTTACGCAGTCGCTAGCGAGCACACGTAACGTAAACTCATGGTAAGCACACAGAAGATGACAAAAAACTCACCCTAAAAGGCGCCTGGAAGAGCGACGAGGCGTCGGGCTCGGCGGCGTGCGCGTGGGACATCTGGTGCGCGCGCGCCTGCCGCTCGCGCTCGCGGTCCCGCTCGCGGTCGCGGCCGGCCCACGCGCCGGGGCCGCCGCCGCCGCCGGCCCCGCCGCCCCCGCCCCGGTCCCGGTCCCACTTGTCGTACCTGGAACAATGGAAGGTAATTGTAAGTACAGCCAGGCCTGTTCATCTCCGCGAGTTTACATCGAAAACAAAACACGCACGATGGCCCACCTACAGGATACTATTAGACAAGGCTTCACATACGAGCGAGCATTGACTCACGCACGCGTATTCTTGTGTATGATGGAAGAAAATAAAGAAAATGGTGTACTAAATACTGTGCAGTATTTAACTGCCTAAATAATAATAAAAACACAGAATGTACTTTTTTAAGTTGCCTCAAGACACTGAGTGGTAAATCATGTATTTCCTCCGCCATTTTCCGCAGTTTGGCACCTCACGTCACATCATTTTACCGAAGTCAGCCCTATAGCTTCGACACAATGCCGATCACTGACGTTTGTCAACAAAATGATGCTGGACTCTTGAGACAGGCTAAATTACACCATATTGTTAATGACATTGAGCATACATTTTTTAAAATATCTTCGCGAAGTAAAACTTCTGTACGTAGTACTTATTATTATTCTGTGGTACAGCTTAAAACAAACATTTGCTTTCTCTAACAAATTATGATTCCTGCTTAAATATATGTTACTTAATTCATTATTTCTTTATGATGTGATGTAACTCTTATAAGTACGACAAAACTATTCCATATGCACGTATTTTAGTTTTCACCGAGCTTACGATGCTGAATGGGGAAAACCCCGCTTGGGCTCCCCTACTATTTCTTAAGCCTACCTCGCAAAGACACATGAACACATCGTTGTGCATCTGGACTTTTGGAGACTAGCTTTTTTTTAATTTGCGTTATTGGCCAATGACTTAGCTAGCTATTGTGACACATCTACTCTTAAAACGTGTGTGTGCAGTATGTTATGCTATGTTATTTAAAGAAGATTGAAATTCGAAGTCAGTATCATGTTTTCTCACACGAATACAATGTACAATACTACATATAAGTATTTTAGTATAACTTTAGGTAACTTTTGTTTAAGTGTAGGTATGTATATGATAATTCGCGCCGCTTAATTTGTTACATTAAATATTCATCCTTTTTTAAAACGCCCAGGCAGGTAATCTAAATAAATAACGTGTAACGTAAGGATTTTTGCTGAGTTAGTACAAAAGCCAATTTCCGCGAGCACATTAGATAGTCATAACTTTCCGCCGCGGCAGCCAACATTTTCCTCATGTACAAACATTATGAAAAGTTCAGTATTTACAAAACAATTTACCAACAGGAATTTAGGATTCGTTCGCATCGCAATATCGATTGGGTCGTTACTCTTGCTTTGAACTTTAATAACTTATAACTTCTAGAGTTCAATAAATACGCTTTAAGTGATCGCCGATTCATGTTTGCGATAAACGAATAATATTTTAAACGCGAATGCAGTGGTCGCTAACAATATTTATAAACAAACATGGCCGCTAAGGCATATGCGCGCGCGACGAGCATTACGATCGGTCATGAGCAAGGGGACGTATGCAGGGATTCATTTATAGAATCATATTAATATTTTTTAAACAAACTTTTACTGAGTTATATTTTTCTGTCTAAGGAAAATTAGAGTTGTGAATTAGATGTTTACGTTTGATACTTATTTATTATAATTTTCATAACGTTGTTTGAGTTCATAATATGTGGCTATCTAAAAAGCACTGACTGACTGACTCACTCACTCATCACGTAATCTCAGAAACTACAACTGCTAGGAGTTTCATTGCATGGGGGTTCCTTTTGGAATTTTGCAAAATTCAACCCTTAAAGGGGTAAAACGGAATTCACGCGTACGAGGTCGCGGGCGGCCGCTTATTATTTATATTTAAGTCAGAAAAATAAGAATGTAGCTTATTAGAATTTTAACCATTTTTTTAAACTACAAATCATTTTACCAGTCTTTATTTTGCAACCCGATAGAAAAACTATTCTACAAGCCCGGTGCACGGTCAATAGCCGGCGAATATTTATATGAAAGTTTTCACACTTTTCAGATTCTAGGAAACTGTGAATGAAAAACAATAAACCTCCATGAATGAATTCATTCAATAATCTACTCGAGGTAGAGAAGGATATTGACCTAAAGATTCTCATTGACCGATACAAAAGTAAACAGATATTCCCGATAGTTACAGTCTTGGGAATTTTGCAGCACTGCGTGGTATTTAATTAACAAAATGTTGATTGCATTCCACAAATGTTTTGAATCCATGAATCTCGTTTAACGTTCTTAGAACTGAATTTTTAATAAAATATAAAGTTTTAATAAAATAATAACGCAATTTTCAATCGATATTCGTTTATTTATTTATCATTTCGTCCGCACATGAAAACTCATAAAACTCATTTATTTTTGCAAATAGGATTTTAAAAAGCACTTTTACACAGTTTTATTTGCAAAAAAATCACTCACAAATTACAAAACATTATATTCTTATTAACAACGCATACAATGAGAAACAAAAGTATTTTTTTTGTTCACAATTTAAAGGCATATAGCTAAAACTCACGTAAATCCATAATGCATCCTCTTATCCATCTCCTTCGATATTTTTGCAGTCCAATGTAAACCTGTCATTTTTATCACTGTCACTCACTGGTCATTTCACTAAACGTTAATCCCGAAGTCTCAACGTCCGTGCGCGTCGGCGGTCGGAGACAGAATGCGTTGTTTCGGCGCGTGCGCCACCGGTCACCGCTGATAATTAGCGCCATCTTGAAATTTGCTTGATAAAGACCACGCAGCAGCCAATCGGCTTATCGTGTTTGCACACTCATTTTTTTTCACACAATACACTTTTAATAATTAGCTGGTCATTTTGTAATTGTTTACTAATGTTATTGAATAATTGAAAATTATTGCGCGTGGTACATTAAAAAAAAATGTACATAGTTCCTGAAGTGAGATCGACCGTTAACTTTAAATAAGAGTTTGTTTAGTAGGTATATGAACTATTTCATAATCAGTTTTCGTAATAGACGGAATTTATTAAGTATAAACGTATCCAAGCGATCGTGTAATTATATGGTAATTTATGTAGACAGTAAATTTTCTGAAATGTCGCACAATGTAGAGTCGAGCCTGTAACTGGTGATTTTCCACATTTAAATTCAGTCTTTCTATTCTTGGTTCTCAATTTATACTAAGAGCCGTTTCACAATAAGAATCTAACAGTACTTTAAAAATGAACACGCGTCCTCAGTACGGCTCTGTGTATCGTCACAGATGGCTGTACTCGTGTGTGTATGTGAGATGTGTGTGTGAGTGAGTCTTGCTCGCTTGCCCGTGTCCTTGGCTAATATATTATGCTATGGATTGAAACGAGTTTTCACTTCGATTTATTTATTATGACACTAGATGAGGAATGATCCGTCACGGCGTGTAACTTGTAATAAGCGACTTTGTCTTGTACGGAACGTAACATATCGTGCGCGATTCTTGTCTCTACTATATCAATCGGGTATTCGTGCTTTATCAATACGTTTATGTTTAACTTTGCGGTCGATTTTGGTGAGTCCAATCGATTTTTGCAAATTCTTACATTGAAACATATTATCGTGTAATCGGGAAACGAATTACATAACCGAATCGGTAATACGCATTTATTAGAGTAGGTACTAGCACATGTACTAGTTACAACTTACGAGCATAACAATATGAATCATATTGGAGCTTGGTAAAATAGGAAATTATATTTTATAATAACGCTCAAGTATTAAATACCGTTTTAAAATATCAATAATACTACTAAAAGTATGAACCGCATTCAATATTGCATTCACAATATTCAGTTGCCGAATCATTGTCGCTTCTGTGACAGCGGACCGTAAAATATGATTACGAAAAGGCCCGTACAGTCATCTGACCTATTTCATGGCTGCACAGATAAAAAGCGCTCTAAATTCCGCATTGCATGAGAACAAAATGCAATTCATACTCTTCTTAGTGGCTGCAAATGAACTCTAAAACAATATTCTTCACACGAAGGCATAATTACGAAATACTTTTAACTAATTCACTTTCACTGGCCCGTCAGCGGGCGGTCGGTTTATTCGCGTAATTACTAACATCGCTTTAGCACGTTTGCTGGGCTTTATGTTACACGCTTAGAGACAAATAAACTTAAGCTATAGACTCCACTCAGCCTTTTGTTGTGACCTTTTCTCGGCACGTTCATTGTTACAGCGCACGTGTGATTAACTCGATGATTGTGAAAGTTAAAATCTTTTTACTTTAGATTAGACAGGGATCCCTCTATTTTGTATTCTTTACCTGTGGATCATGCGTCACAGTAAATAAATACTCATTCATAATAAACACAATAATTAAGTTCTTCAAATCATTCTCAAACAATAACGCTTATTAAAGACCTACAGAAATGTTTAATCACTTAACGACGAAGCTTATGACTTCATTAACCTTAAACCCGTAATACAGATAGCATAACGAAATACTCGAAAAATTGCGACAAAAGGAAAGCCGTATTAATCAATTCTCGAAATAACCTCCGCCCACAAGAAAGAAGCGCGACAACAAAGGCTGAACATTCAAGAAGTGGCACAAAATACGACAAATATTAAACCTAAAGTAACTCTGTCTGTCTGTCTGTTACCTTTTCAAGCTCAAACCACTGAACCAATATACTTGAAACAGGGTCTCACATTGCTAATTTATTTGGTACTAGCTGACCCGGCGAACTTCGTACCGCCTTAGCGTAGAGATTTTCTTAATATTTTTTTCCGTAAGAACCATCCTTGGACTTCCACAAACATTTAAAAAAAAGAATTATCGAAATCGGTTCAGCCGTTCACACGTGATGCCGTGACAACGCGAAACGGGTTTCATTTTTATATATATAGATACAGAAAGTTTGAGACCCAGGGAGAGTCTTAGGATAGTTTTTATCCCGGATTTTGAAAAGGGAAAACGCGCGCTATATTATTTCTGAGACACACCGAAATTCAGGGTTATTCAACTCGATTCGCTCCATCAATTAAGTATTCTTCCACAATTC